ATATATATATATTTTTTCGAAGAGATATCCATAAATCTTTCCGGTACTTGTATTATTTATATCATTTTTTTACAGATCAACGTATTATATGTATAATATAACTTCGCTGCGCGGTGAGTAATTAATTTTTTTCTATTTTATTCTTGAGGTAATGAATTTTTAGCTAAGCTTTAATTATGGAATCTGTGCATTCCGAAATAAATACTGAAACTTGCTCGAATCACCGATCCAAATTTTTGCTTACTATTGACATAAAGCATCGTTCTGTAGTGAAATCGTAATGCATCTAACGATTGAATGCATGGTGAAAATCAGATTTACATTAACAGTCGACAAGTGTAACACAAACAAGGCGCATATCGCGCTGCGAGATGTTGCTTTCGTCGGCATTGCGTCCACATCACGAATCGCATTATCGTCGTGGCGCGCGATGCAGCATTGACGACAAATACAATAAACACCGAGGCGCGTTGATGATAATGGTCGGATCACTCCGTATATTACTGCGGTGAATTGAAGCGAGCGGGCATTATTCGCGAACGTGCTAGAAATTACGTTGCCTCGCGCGCGAATGGTTTTGTCGTCGTACGACGCGTCGCGGTTGTAAAAGCCGACCGACTGCTACCGGTGGCTCGGCGGCTCGGCAAAGCATCGGAGGCAAAATTGCATATGGTACGGGTAATAAATGAGATTTCAACCGGTTGAATACGAATAAACGAAGCGCGCCACGACGATGGACCGACGCGAGGTGGAAGGAAAAATTGTCCAGAAAATTGACGCTGGTCGATCTGCGCCGCGGTGTCGTTTTCAGCTTTCCCACGATGTAGGTGAGGCGAACTTTCCAATTCAATTTCCAGATGGGTCACACAAAGGCTTATTTATGAAATGTCCACCAAAAATGGAAGCGAGCGCGATGGTTGTCAGGTTATGCGCGAGATGAACGGAGAAGACAAGACTTTCGTTCTCCTCCAGCTTCGATAACGTGGCCGATGCCGGTCTCAGGATCGCTGCCGGTAAAAGATATCAAAATAATTGAAAAAGTTTAAATAGACTTCAATGTTATTTACGGCAGACTATGTAACCCGTGCCATTTTTGGCCTCCGAATCTCTCATTTCCGCGCTAATCGCGCCAGATCGATTGAAAATTCGTACACCATAAAAATTATTTTGAGCGTTAATCGTCTATCTCTTTAATTAATTTTTTCTTACCGTTAAAAAACTTCTATATACAATTCAGTCAGCATTGAAAACTGAAAAATGAGCAAATTTTTAAGATTTAACTTATATTGTAACATAAGCTTTCTTCTTCTAATGCAAGAGCAAAAAGAAAAAGGAGAAAAAAAAGAACTTTATATTGAAATTAATACATAAATTGATAGGTAAATTACTTATGCTGGATTAAAACATTGAAAATTTTTTTTCAATTCTACATCACATTCTGAATCGATATCCTGATTAGTCGATGTTTCGCTTTCGCGATATGAATAGCGTATGCGCGACTATATGTTACAATAGCGATGAATGCCATAGTCATCGGTGCCATGTGTATCTGTGTACGTGTTCGCCATTCACATAGGTTTCACACGGGCACTTGAAATAGCCGTAGATATGTATTCCACCCAATGGCAAAGGGGTTTCCTAATTGTTGCTGCAATGTTCATAGAATACGTGTGCTTGGCGTTTGGCCTTGTGTATGTGCGCGATGTTAGCATCGTATACATTATCACGCTATACATTCCTTGGGGCGAATATACGTGTTAATGGATCCTTGCACTCTGAATTAGGTCCATCTGCCAAATGGACGCGCGGACCGATGGCAAAGGGAGTCTCATTAACCGGATATTCGAAACGCATTGGTCATGTTAACAATAACATTTGACACTTAGTACCATTTCCGAAACTAATTAAGTTTTGAATTTCTACAAGGTCACAGGGAACGTATCGGGAGGATGTATCGGATGTACGACTAGGAGGATGTACGACATTCGGGGAGACGCTATTAATGTTATTTGTGTCACTCTATCTTCATCGTTTATTAGAAACAAGAATAGAATGACATAAATAGCGCTAATAGCTTCTCCTCAAACTTTATGTATAACAATAGATCTGTTCGCATTGCTTCTATTTCTTGCATCTTCGCTTTCTCTCTCTTCAACATCCAAATATGTAATTTTATTTCTTGTTAGGTCAAAATATATTTTTAAAAGAGATATATTTATCTAATAACAAAATATTCAAAAGGCTTCGAT